CCCCGACACCCACGTCCCCCGCCGCCGCTCTCCGGCACCGCCGCGTTTGCCCTCCCGCTCCCCCCGCGCTCACAGCCGGGCTTTCCGCCGCACCGGGGCGGAGCCGACGCAGACGCCGCCGTTTCTGAGCCTGCAGCGACACCGTGTGACCCGCCGCCTCACACGCCACCACGGAAGACGCCTTGCGTCACCACGCAGGCCCAGAGACGCCGCAACGAGCCCCAGTACCGCCGCACCGAATCTCCCAGGCACCGCTGCTCCAGCGTTGCCGTTCCGGCGGCCCTCTCGGCTCAGATGACTCGGAGTTCTCTGCTCGGCGCTTTACAGGGAAACACTACCACGGATCGGAGACTTCTCGGGGAAAATCCACTCTTCCCGAAACGAGATTTTTAAATCGACATCTTGGACTCCTGCAACACAGGGGTTTCTTGATGAAGCCCTGGGGGACTTGCTCCGAAGGTATTCAGGAATACGTTGACAAGGGGCAGTACATGCATGATAACAAGCAAAAATGCTAGTGGAAGGGGAACGATGATTTCAGTGCCTCAACGTTTTCCAATACGGTATGGTTGACTATGCGGAGAATGAATGATCTTCCCCGGTTCCTGTGCGAGAGAAGCACGATGAGCCCAAAGGCAGAAGAGATGCAGGAGGAAAAGAGAGCACGTGAAAAAAAACCGCCCTCTTTCTTCGGTCCTGTCTTTCTTCCACACACAACTTTCACGATGGTGATGTTCTGATGGTGAGTTCTCTCCCTTCTCTTCCCTGTGTTGCCTTTCCCTCCCTTTCCTACTCCTTCCCTTCTGCCTCCTTCCATTCTCTTCACAATCCATTTCCTTCCTGCCATTTCTCCTCCTCCTCTTATTCCCTGTTCCAAAGCGTCTTCTAACTATAAATGCTAACYTTGACATGAACCAGGGGCAGGTCTTTAAGCAAAACCTCTCTTGCCTCTTCCTCATCATGGCACACACGAGGTCCTGAGTATTGAGGAATCTGAAGGACATCCAGGAACTGATTGCCAGGGAGGTCTCTCTCTGTTTCTTTCTCCATGAGTCGGTGGACTCAAGAGCCAATGAGGCATGGAGCACACGTGGGTCGGTCCTTCTGCCCTCTGGGGCTTATGCTCATTCCTTTTCACTCAGCAGGCATAGCTCTCCTCCTTACTTGCACGCCTTGCATAMMATGTGCTCTGCACCTGCACTACAGTGWGTTTTCTGGAAGATGAGAGTACTCTTCAGTCTCTATCCMGAACAARRAGCAAGGCTGGTACAACACATAGAATTCCAGAAGAATCATTTATGAAAGATCACTCCTAACTGCAGGCACAGATCGTTACCTCTTGCAAGAGTGGTTCCAAGAAACACATGTGGCCCAGCCATTTCATGCACTCCCCTTCCTCAGTAGAAAGTATAGCACAGAGTAAGGAATGCATATTWCAAAGAATGCGTCTACTAGACCATAACAGAATCCTCCACCCTTTACCAGCCAACCAGCCTCCCACATTCCATTTGGATGGTCTTTGCAATGCCAGGAACTCATTACTTCTGGAGATCGACCTAGATACACATTGACAAAGCAATCCTTAGAGAACAATAATAATTTAAAAATGTAGTGTTCTTTGTTTGCACAGGGAAGAAGTGCTTTAGTGCCTGTTTTTCCACTTGCAGCTCCATGATTCATTTCCTACTCCAATTTACCTTTCCAGGCAGGGATCCACACATAGAAAAGCAGAGTCAGGGGTTTAGAACTCGGTACCTGTATGGGAATTAGTCCTGACGCCTTTTTGCACGACGTCAGGGCTAGTTATCCTCCACCCATTATCATTATCATCCACCTGGCACAAAACCCAACAGAAACCATGAAAATTACCCTACTGCATGTTTCATGGAGAACATCCACAAACCACATTCACCGAAATAAATTTGTGAGTCACCCTGCCATACTGAATCACAAGTGCTTCCTCTCCCACCTCTCATAAAGGTGGAAGCCACAGGGAACGCATGAGATCACTCACAATTGCTTCTGACATGCATGAGTCATGCGTGTCATTACATGACATGCATGAGTCATGTAATGTTGTTGCATTACATGCATTGAAGTGAAAGGGAACACAGAGACATGTGGCTCTAAGGCAGATAATCCTCTGCTGCAGTTTGACATGACAGAGAAACAGAAAAAATGGGTTATTACTTCTGAAATAATTGTAATGGAATTCCCCAGTGATCCAGAACATGGACAATTTCCATATAAGTAGGCCTTGCAAAGACAATGCTTATCTGATCAAAATTCTAAGATCATTGCATTACTGACAATGTTGCCATCACTACTTTCCC